AGAAAGAAAGAAAAAAACGAAAAGAGGGAAAAAGTGCATCTGAAAGCGAAGAAACGAACTATGCAGAACAGCAGGTGTAGGAGAGAGTGATGGTATCTCTCAGAAAACAGAAATGAAATAAGTAGTATTCAGAAACGTTGGGTACTTTTGATATAAAGGGTGTTCCATAATAACTTAGATCGTAAATGTAAAATTTGATAATAAACTTTTTACAGCGGTACTCACGATTTTATTAACATCAAAATCATGTGATGGAAAATGATTACTATTATGCATCATTTTAGTAGATTAGAATTTTATACAACGTGAAAATCCAAAAGTGTGTAATATACTTTTAACTATGCAGTACGTCTACACTCATGAAAATAAAAATATGACTGATAAGAAAGCAAGAAAAGATTAAAAAGAAAAGAAAATGTTTTCTAAACTCGGATATTTGGATAGTGCATATGAGTTAGTCAGTTCATATAAGCAAACCATGTCGTACACAGGTAAAACGATACGCTTCTGTTTTAAAAAGAAAAAAATGAAATTCTTACCATTAGTAATGAATCGCGTTACAATGATTAAAAAGAATGAAACAGGACAGAACAAGAAGAAAGAGACCAACCCATTATATATGTATGTTTTGTCCATGTTACATTGTACAGAAAGAAAGAAAGAAAAAAACGAAAAGAGGGAAAAAGTGCATCTGAAAGCGAAGAAACGAACTATGCAGAACAGCAGGTGTAGGAGAGAGTGATGGTATCTCTCAGAAAACAGAAATGAAATAAGTAGTACTCAGAAACGTTGGGTACTTTTGATATAAAGGGTGTTCCATAATAACTGATGATAAACATTTACATGATGATATAATATTTTGAATGGTGCTCAAACGAGAAAAATGCTATTAGAGATTCAAACAGCATCTTTTCTAGAGAATTCAGTTCTCTAATGAATGAGCCTAGAACCAACCCTTTGGACCACTGGAAAGTGCTTGAAAAAACAAAGAACAAAAGTGTCGATTTTATTCAAGCACACTCGTCTATCATCAGTTATTATGGAACATCCTTTATTCTATAATTATTTTATGTAGCCGGGTAATTGTAAAGTCATCGATGTTTTCTAGTTTTTCTGATAGTAGTGTTTAAGTGTGAAGGATAATCCAGGTGCTATATTATGCTAGTCATTTTTGAACTTAGATCGCAAATGGCGATAGTGTGAGCATCCCAAGAGAAAGTGTTTGATTGTTTTTATTTTGCCGCATGAACAATACTGATTATTTACTAAGTGCCTACTATGCAAATCAAAATTCAATCGAGAGAATTCAACACGCATTTGATTAAAATGCATTTCGTGCTTTCGGTCAACGTGTTTGGATCGTGGCCATTTGTAATATGGATGCAGAAAGTCATGTATCTTTGAGCGAAGCGAGCCAATTTAACAGGTAACTCATTCCACTGCCTAACTATCCAAGGAAAGAATGTGTTTTTGAATTTTTCTGTCCGAGTATGAAAGATATGTAGCTGACCTTTAACCCGAGATCTCAATGACGTAGCAACAGTTGGATAATTTGGTATTCTTTGAGAAAGGAACGATGGTGTGAGCCCCCTTTTTATGTTAAATAATAACAAAATCTTATTCATGGCATATAAATTTTCAATAGGAGTCTATCCAAGAATTCTCAATACTTTTTCCCTTGAACTCAAATGCATATCACCGCTCAATTAAAGCAGCTTTAAACTGTATATCATATATAGATTTGAGATAGAGTGGTACGTGCTGAATAACGTTTGTTTTTCCATGTAAATCTTTCAAGCAAACAATATGTTCAGTGGAAGAATTAATTGAGGGTTTATCAGTTGAATGGTTGGCTATAACACCAGAACTGTATGAAAAACTTATCATTTCAATGTCGCAGCGAATACAGAAATGTATTGGAGCACATGGCAAATGTATTATTAACTTCATTTTATTCTATTGTTTTTGTTTATCTTCACTTAGGTTTTTCTCCATGACACGGAACTTTTTGTCGCTGAAGGTTTTTTGATAGTAAAAGTAGCAGTTTTGTGTTTGCGCAATAGAATGGGACAACTTAACTACTGGTAAGAATACCAGACACACGCATTAAGTTTTGAGTCAATTTAAACATAAAGTTTTGGAGGACCATTCACGTCACTTTTGCCACTACTGTACACAAAAAACGGTACGACAAACACTCAGCAGTTTTCACATTTTCATCACCTTTGAACCTATTTTCTGAACAGATCTGTGTTTTTATGGAGCCCCGACACATATATTCGTGATCTACGGTGACACGACAGTTGAGCCTACGACATTTGAGCCCCGACAAATGAGCCTCGACAGATGAGCCTACCGACACTTGAGCTCTTGACATTTCAGCCCCCGATATTTAAGCCTCCCGATACGTGAGCCTTCGACATTTGAGCCTGTCGCAGATAGGCATTATATGACTGAGTTCGGAAAGTAATAAGCGAATGGTTGTATAGAGTCGTTTAGTGATTGTCTTCGTCGTGAAATGATGTTCAAATTTGGCTTGCATGTTAGTATAGTTGAATCGGATTTTATGCGTACGCCAATGACGGAAAATAATCAACAGCAATTCAACCAGCTATGGTCACCATTGCCATAGGTGACTAAACGGCGTTGGGGTGGCGATGGTTATTTTCGAAAAGGCAACCATGGAAGCAACAACAAGTATATTTATGCGATATCGTGAACATCCATCGAAAGTTGTGCATGCTCTAAAACATGCTATCAGTAACAGTCATCCAAAAATTCATTATCGTCCAGGATGCAAGCATCATTTTTCTTTTATCCGTTATCATTGATGCCAACACGGTTAGTAGATTTAGTGTTACAATTCAGATAAAACAACCCAACACATAACAATGATGACCGCTCTACATTTTTGCTTCTACTATAGTTTAGAGTTTTGTTTTCTGTTTCGTTAAAAAGAACTTCATCAAATCTTCCAGAAAAGCATCTAGATAATGAGTGAAATGTACAATCCGAAAAGCCCATCGATAAAATATGTCAACCGTTGTATGGAATTTTCTGAATCGCTCCAGAGATGAAGCAACCAAAAACCTTTTTGATCGCCTTCGGATCGAATTTTTTAAATATCGACAACGCACCGTTCGAAATAAATAGGTAAAATGATAACAGTAATATGCTCAAATTACTTAACAGACCGTCATTAATTCTATCCAAATCGGCTAACAATTTCCCTTATAAAAGATATTTTCATTATAAACATTTCATTTCAGTACCGAAATTGACATAGAAAACCTCTGTATAGGTAGGAATTTCGGTCTTTTGGGTAGTTAGTGACGTCTTGTTATAGAAGTATTCCTAAAAACCAAACAACACTATTATTTAACAATTAAACAAACTATTCAAAAGCAACAAAAAAGAAAAAAAATAAGAGAGGATTTTCATTTACGATAGTCTAAGGATCATTTGAATTTCATAATGAATTTTTTCAATTAAGTTTCATAAAAGTGTTACTGAATGAAAAATTGAGCTTTTCGAAATTCTTCTAAAAACGAAATAGATTGCCTAGAAAGTGTATACCCATGTCCATAAACGGCAAATTTCTACAATACAGTTGCTATTATATTTCTACTAAAACTAATCGTATAAAATTAGAGAAAAGGCTTTACTTGACAAAGTAATGCACAAAAACAGAATTATGTTGCTGCAGCGATTGACCCAGCAATCATCCATACCAAACACCATCTGTAATAAAAGAATTAGAAGAGGTCTTAAACACTAACATGAAGCCAAATTTGAGCTTTTGATTATAGTACAAACAAGATTGAGCGACCCAAGCTCGTTGCAGAGTGTATGTAGAAGAATGCACTAGCAACTACAGCATAATATATCCACAATGTTCCTTTTAAACAGTATGACACAAATAAAATGGTAACACATCATATATTGGTAGCAGAGTGACGTGATTTAACGATAATACCTTTAGATACACAATTGATTGCCTTTTCTTCCAAATCTATCAGAATAATCTTTACAGTTCCCGATACACGTGTTGTTTCCCGATACATGTGTTATTTCCCGATTCACGTGTTGTTCGACAGGTACAGACTACCTTTTCTTCATAAAATTATGGAAAATCTTGCCCCATCATTCCTTATGGCTTTAATTCTTGTTATATTTCAATGATTCCATATAATTTGACTGTTTTCGATATGTTTCAGCCATATTTATGTATATTCTAGCAATTGATGAGTGATTGGAAGGAAAAACTTTTTGTTTTATTTCAAGTGCTAATTCAAAGTATTCTAAAGCTGTGTCGTATTGATCCTTGTCACTGAATACTGTTCCTAGATTATGATATGATTGTGCAAGATCAGGATGATCAAGCGAAGAATACACTGTCATTCGAATATCAACTGCTTTTTTATGATGAATTAATGCCTCTGTGTAAGTACCAATTTTACGATAATTTTCACCAAGATTATTGTAAATAACAGCATGACCAACTGTATCTGAAGACTCAATTTCATCAAGTGCACGTTTATAGTATTTGATTGCAAGTTCATATTGACCTTTATCCAAATAAATATTGGCAATATTGTTATAGGTGGTAGTTAATCGTGGATGCTTTTGCGGCCTTTGATTTAATTCAATTTCAGGTACTTTTTCATAATTTTCTATAGCTTTTATCGAGTTTTCACTTTCAATATAAATATTAGTCATAGCATTATACGATTTTGCAAAATCTATATGATCTTTTGGTAATGTTAAGAGATGAATATCAAGTGCATTTTGACAATATTTCAATGCCATTTCATAATCACCTTTTGTTCGATATGTATCACTCAAATTACTATAGGTTATTCTGAATGATGGATGATCTGGTGGTAGATATTTTAGTTTAATATCTATTGACTTTTCATAGTTTTCAATTGAACGATTATAATCACCATTTTGATTGTAACAACCAGCTATGTTATTATAGATTTGTGCAAGACCAACACCATCTTTAATAAACGATGAGTAGAGCACTCGCAGTTCAAGTGCCATATTATAAATTTCTAAAGCTTTCTTCTAGTCTCCAAATTCAATAAAAACATTGCCAATATTACTATAGATCGTTGTATTGGAAAATGAATTTATTTTCGTGTGACAAATAAATATCAAGAGCATTTTTATAATATTCTAACGCTAATTCAAAATTTCTCCTAGTATAATATACTAAACCAAGATTATTGAAAAGTGCCGCAATCATCTCATTACGATAATAATAATCATCGAAGAGCAATGCTGATGATGATATTTGATCAAACAAGAGATGATAATACTTTTCTGCTTTATGTAAATCATTCATGAAATATAAGAATTTACCCAATATCAACAGATGATGTTCTATTTTATTAATTTCTTTTTTAAAATGAGTGATCAAATCGTTTAAATTTTTATTTTCTTCTTTGTTTGATATCAGTTTTACACACCATATTTCCTCGGTGAATAATTCAACACTAACAATACGAAATACTGTACCCATTGAAAATAATATTTCATTTTCATCCTTATTATATGAATAATGTTGAATATCAGCAAAAGGTTTTCCTAATTGTTTTTGGTCTACATGTATTTCAAGCACAACTGATTCGAATTGAGGACGACCCATGCCATTACCAGAAAAAACGGCGGCAACACTAATAGATAAAGTGGCTGAAAAAAAGTATTAACTGATATAAGGCCATTTATATTACCGTTTGTTGTTGCTAAAAGATTTTCCAATTGTTGATAAAGATCTTTAATAAAAAATCGATATTTAAATATATTGTTTGTATTTTGTGTACGCAGTGCTCTATTCAATAGACGATACAAAAAACTATCATGTGTGTACCATTGAATACAAGTGTCAGACGAGTGTCTTTGTTGAAATTCAATAATTTTCTTTTTCTTTATTTCGTCGTTTTCATAATTGAATAAACATTCATTAATCATCTCATTTTTTGATTCAACTGTTTGTGGCATTTGTAAGAGAGTTTCTAAAAATAATTGAAACCACATAAATGTTGCTTGTTCATTTATTAAATCTCGAATTGATGTTTCTTTTATCGTCTGAGGATTAATAATACTAATAGGTAATGACTAGCGAGACCCCATGGATACTGCACGGTCGTTTTTTTATATCATAGAAAGCAAGTTTTTTGTGAGGATCAGCGGATTATCAGGTATATTATTAAAAGGTTTATCTCCGTTGTATCAGAAGAATTTATTCACATAATCTTCATTTTATTCTAAAACAACAAATTTACAAAATTTCTTTGAAAACAATGTTTTTAGTATTGTCTTTCACTGTTGTTTTCTTCTCTGATGACTCGTACCCAAGGGGGAAAAGGCGGATCGGGGATCCATGCGGATCCACGCGGATCCACGCGGATCTACGCGGATCCACGCGGATCCATGCGGACCTACGCGGATCCACGCGGATCCATGCGGACCTACGCGGATCCATGCGAATACAATTTTATTGAACTGAACTGTCCCAGAAATCTCTGTTCCCACAAGCAAAACAAAAATGTTCTGTCTGTGGGAAAAGAATTCAAAGAACAGAACACAATTGTCCCG